ATATACCATGACTAAGGGAGACTATATCCCAGGAATGCAAGGTTGGTTAGACACACGAAAATCAATCAATGTAATACATCAGAGGAAAAGAATAAATGACAAAAGCATGCCATAATCTCAAAAGATGCAGAAGACAAATGTCAGAGCTCCCACTTCTTGGCACGAAGCCCTATCTCATCCTCAGTAAAGGCGAACTCCACCTGGTGCACGCAAGGCCCTGCACAATCTTGTGCCCATCATCTCCATCCTCACCTCCCTCTCACTCTTCTCACTCTGCACTAACCGTAATGGCCTCCTTGCTATTCCTCAAAGCCAGCAGGTAATCTCCTGACTCAGGCAGGACCCTTACAGTTGCTGTTCCCTGTGCCTGAAACACTATTCCCCTGAATATCCGCATAGTTCACTCCTTCCCCATCTACAGGTCTTTATTCAATAATCGCCTCCTCAGTGAGGCCTTTCTGGCTATACTACATAAAGTTACACCCCTCGTGGTCAGGGGGTGGTGTAGTGGTTAAGGCACTAGACTCCCACATAGTCAACCGTGGTTCGAGTCCTGGATCTGGCAACTTGAAACTCACATTGGGCACGTGTGCGGGCATGAAACTCACGTTGGGCACGTGTGCGGGCATGCCCAAAATCCCGGGAGGAGAAGGAATTGCAGCATGGCCATCCCTTGGGTGGGGGAGGAATTTCTTGCTTTCTGTCTCTCTGGCAAGCACCTGTGCTCTATAGCAAAAATCTCTCAAAAACACACCAAAAAAAACCTTGCATCCTTCTCCCACAATATTCACACATGTCCTATTGCCCCTCCTGTTTAACTTTTTCCAAGCATTTATTATCGTATGACACTGTGTGGATTTTATGTATATATCTTGCTCGTGTTTCCTCCAACTACACTGTAAATCCCCTAAGGACAGAAGTAGTTTGGTCTGTTTTATTCACATCCATATCTGCAGCATTTAAACTGCCGTGCCACTTGAGTCACACACAGTGGCACATATCTGTAATCCCAGTCACTTGGGAGGCGGAGGTAGGAGGATCACAAGTTCTAGGCCAGCTGGGGCAACAGCGAGAGCCTATCTCTAGGTAAAACACAAACAAAACCAAACCAAAACAAAAACATCACGCCACTTGACTGACACTCGATAAACATTTGGAAACTAAATAAATAAATGGAACCCGTTGGTCACTCAGTCCTTCGCTCAGTGAGCAGTGATTCGCCCCCACCCACCTGATATTTCTGACGCTGTGCTTTAGGCTGGCCTGCTGAGGAGGAGCAGAAGCAACCCGGACCCTGCTGGAAGTCACGCTGGGGCTGAGAGAGGAGACAGAGCACAGGAAGCCTGATTAGGGAGGCAGTGCCGAGGGCATGAAGGGCTGGTGGAAAAGAGCCAGCCTGGCCGTCAGGGGGCTCCGTGGAGGATCCATGTTGTGTTTAAAGGCCCAGAATGATCTGGGAACATGGAGAAGGGGTGGTGATGGGAGGAAGCGTGGGATACGTCCTCAGAATTGGCAGGGGTGCTGTGTGGCAGAACTGCAGTGGGGGATGAGGTTACCAAGGCAGGCGGGTCGGGCCACGGAGGGCTTCGAAGGCCAGCACAGGAGCTAGATCTAGCTCTCGAGGCCTCGGGAAGCCATGCGAGGTTTTCAAGCAGGAAAAGTGCATGGTATCGGAGAGCTCACGCCGGCAGCATGGGAAGCCCAGACTGTAGCAGGTGAGCAGATACTTAAATAAAATTCACAAAGTGTCATATGATAATAAATGCTTAGGGAAAAAGTTAAACAGGGAAGGGCAATAGGACATGTGTGAGTATTGTGGGGAGAGGGCTGCAAGTTTTTGTTTGTTTTTTAGAAGTTTTTGCTATAGAGCACAAGTGCACGCCAGAGAGACAGAAAGCAAGAAATGCCCCCCAGGGGATGGCCACGCTCAAGGAGATCAGAAAAGCAGTTCCGGGAATAGTCTGGGAAAAAGATGGCAAGGCAGGAACCAGGGAAGGCAGAGGGGACAGTGAGCGGCGGGCACGCTGGGGAGATGTTACGGGCTTTATGGCTGATGGTTGGCGGGGGCAGGAGCTGAAGACTGAATCTCAGCTCGGAAGACCCAGATGGAGCTCAGAGGCGCAGACGGAGCCAGGGGTATAGGTCAGGGCCTCACCACCTCTGAAGGGCTGGAGTTCTGGCCACTGGGACTCCATTGCTGGGTTCAAGCCAGTCTTAGAGTTTCCTGGCACCAGAGGATGGACACACCCTGCCCTGCCCGCCTTCCTGCCCCTCAGCCCCCCACCTCAGGAGCAGGCCTAGAGAAGAACTTCCAGCTGGCTTTGTGGGCCAAGACGCAATGTCATTTCTAGATGAGCCATCCAGCTCTGGAGATGCGCCAGGCTGCAGGGTGGGGGGGCAGCTGTGTCCCTAAAACACAGCCAAGAAGCAGCTTCCCAGAGCCAGCCAAGATAGAAGCAGAAGCAGAGCAGGCAGGGGGTCCACAGCCCCAGCCGGTTGGTGCAGGGACAGGCCTTTGACGGGGCCTCCATCTGCTTAAGTCTCAGCCTACTTCGAGGTCAGGCCTCTACCAGCCTCCGCCAACCAGAGCTGGTGGGCTCCCTCTCCCAGTCTCTCTCTTAATAAGCATTAGGTATTTAATGCTTATTAACCATTAAAGCTGGTGTTCCTCTCCTACGGGGTGGTGGTGGGACGGTGACCGGGGTTGGTGCAGCATGAAGGATGCAGGCTTTGGAGTCTTCAGAGCTGACTTTGAGTTTTGTCCATCTCAACATTTCTGTCACTGTAACTGAGCCTCAGTTTACCCATCAGTGGAGGAAAAAACCTTCTCCACAAAGATGTCTTAAGGACAAAACAAGGGCATGTATGAAAAGGAACCAGAACAGGCTTTTCTAGTGTCCAGGGATGTCAGCAAAAGCCCAAGGCTGACGACAACGGGGGAGCAATGCCCACACCTTGGGAGGTGCCAGACGCACCTCAAGACTTGGCGAGAGGAAGAACCGTGCCATGTGACCCCGGCCAGCTCGCGTAGAGAAGGCGGGGGCTCGATGGAAAGGCTTTCTTTCTTTTTTTCTTAAGTTTCTTTATTTTCCTTCCATGAGTGAGAGAAACAGAGAGACAAGGAGACAGGCATCCCCAAGGGTTTTCCACATTGCGACCCACCCTGAGCCTCAGCCAGCCCCAGATCCTGGCCACACACATGCCAGTATGTCCAGGGAGGTTAGTGGGTGCAAACCCAGAGCCCTCCCAGTGGGCTAGCCTTGCAGACCACCGTGTTACCTCTGGGCCATATGGCACCGAAAGTCCCCTTCTTAAGCTAAGTCCGGGGCTTCAGGTCACACACACACACACACACACACACACACACGGCAGTGCTTGCTAGGAAGGAAACTTTCTTTTCTCCTATACCTGAAACTCTTTCTTTTCTCCAGGGTGACTTGAGGGGCATTCACAAAGGACATCCTGATAAATGAAACCTGGTATTGAGGGAAGGGGACCTGGGGCCGGACTCCCCCTAGGAAAGTCTGAGGGTAGTGGTGGGGGTGGCTTCCCTTCCTGAACTCATCCAGGGGGTCAAATGGACCCAGGAAGAGGAGACATGATGGTCATGACATGTCCCCCACCCCCAGGATTGCCTCTACGGCAAGAAGGCCCAGCTAGAAAGTTGGCACCCACACCGAGGGACCGGGCAGTGCAAAGCCAGGCCCAGAGGCCCCAGAGAACACAGAAATGCCCCCCAGCCCACTGTGTAGGCACCTATCATAGGGGGACTTGGTGGTCGGCAAAGCGACTCTGGCCCCAGGTAATCCCTGGCCCCATTCGCAGGCTCCTTCCTCACCTGCTCAGCCCCGGATCAGCACCACAGGGGAAGAGGCGGGGTCTGGGTGGAGGGCCAGAAGATGGAACACGGACAATGAAGCCAGACCGCAGCTCCCCCTCTTCCCACGGCAATTTTCTAGGCCTGGGTAGGAGCTGTATGTGGAAGTAGAGCCAAAGTTTTGATCCAAATGGGAGCGGACTTCTCAGTTCAGGAGCGTGACTGGAAACACTCTGGGATCTGGTGGGTGGGAGAAGGGTCAAACCCATGTTGATTTCCTGCTGGGGAGCCTGGCAACCATGCGCCAGGGCATCTGTGCCCACGGACCGGGACCTCCTGGGGACAGCGCCTGGGACCATGGCACTGGGGGAGCGCAGGGGACCTACAGCGTGACTGGTTGCCCTGTGCTGGTGCCATCTTCCCAGAAGCAGTGGACCCTGCCCATGTGGGGGACAGGCAGGACTGGGGCTCTGTGCAGCCAGGGACTGCTGCACACGGGGATTTGTGGGATCTGGAGCCCGTCCTCTGGGCTCCCTGCCCGTGGGCACAGCCCTGTACACCTCAGTGCCTGATGGGGTGCACACACGCTGTGCTCGCACGGGAAC